CGCTGCCTTTGCGTGCTTGCCAGCTCCGATGCAATCCCTACCCAAACCCTTCCTGAAGGCCAGTAGCTCTGCTTGCTTCCTTTCTTTGGCCAGGAGCCAAATGCCACTATTTGATTAAAAGTGTCAAGGAAGACCTCCTATGGGGCTGGTTACTGAAACCCAGAAATATCACATAGTGAAACAGAGAGGGCTAGCAGCTACTAGATCAGCAGCACATATCTGCTAATGCTGCACATTTCTCTGCATCAGGCATCATTGACATTTTATCCTCTGGTTTGTAATAACTCTTTCAATGCCACAGACCTGCCAATTTTTCTTTAACACCTCCCCTCAAAAAATCAGGTGCAAAAGCAGAGGCCAATATGTTAGAGCCAGTGATCCCTTTCCAGAGCCTGTGGCATTGCTCACCTGTAAAGTGTAGCAATCTGCCACTTCCAGTGACATTCCAGTTAGGTTACATCCCAAGTGTCTCACCATGAAGGGTTAACACTGTAGCAGCCTTTCTTGGTGGATCAAATTCTTGCAAGGCTCTCCTTGCTTTGTTCTTTAGTGGGATGAATTCAGCAAGAGCAGTCTTAACACTGGGATCTGTTGTCCTCCTTCCACTAGCACCCTTGTTCTTCTCCCTGACTTCAAGGCAGGCTCCCTGTTTGCATATCAGAATAATCTCACCCTTTCACATTGTCCCAGCAGCAGCTTCACACCAGTAGACTCTGCCCCTTCGGGGCCCCGGGTCAGGGACAGCAGCAGCCACCACCACTTCTGTGCTGTCAGGCAGGACAGAAGGAATGTGCCTGGCCTTGTCACAGGGGAGGGAAGCCTGCACTCCGCAAGAAATGTGAACAGATGTCACTAAGCTGGCTCAGAAATCACTCTTCAGTTGCTAGCTATCACCCAAGCAGTCCATCCAAACATCCAGTGCTCATCCCAAATTGCTTGCATACCAGCAGCTTTGCCTTTTGTGATCTGTACACACTATTGGCATCTTTATTTAAAACCTCATTCAAATATTATGTGAAAATGCTTTAGATCATTCTCTGGCACTGGGTAGTGGGAAAGCCTGCAGATGTGCCACCGAGCCCTGCCAGTCCCAGGGTTGGATGGATGGTCACATCCAGGTCTCACCAAGACTGTGCTCTCTGTCACCCACTCTGGCTTCTTGACATTTCTTTGCTATTAATACCACAACAAGAAAGTCCTGTGTTTACAGCAGTCAAAAGTTTTCCAATGTTTATCACTCAGAACAAATTGCCTTCAGTTGGAAATCTTCCTGTCTTATGGCATGTCCTTACAAATATAGGAATTAATGATATCCTCCTATCCCTGAAAATGTTTAAGGCCAGATTGGATGGGGCTTTGAGCAAACTGGTCTAGTGTAAGGTGTCCCTCCTCATGGCAGGGGGTTGGAACAAAATGATCTTTAAGGTCCATTCCAACCCAAACTCACGTTTCTGTGATATCTTTGCACCTGTGCCAGACATAGGATGCTCTCTGTGGAGCATCTATTAGTAAGCTGAGCCATAGATGGGAGTGAAAGATGCCTGGGATATACCCCAAGACTTCAGAGGTGTCAGCACATGCTGGAGTCCTGGAGGGGCTCCTCAGTTACCAGCCCTGCACTGCCGTATGGTCACCAGCAGAGCATGGAGGTTAATGCTCTCAACAGCAAATACTTTCAAAACATAAAATACATTCAAGTAGCCATCTAGCCAAATATCTGAGAAGTTGCAACAGAGATTGTTTAAGGACTTTAAAGCACATGGAAGTTTACAGATTTGAGGATTTTTTTGGGACCCCACTTTGAGAAAACAGACTTTGCCAGTCAATTTTCCCATATATGTCTCCCTGAGTAACAAAATGTGCATCAGCCTCCTGGACAAGAGGTACTGAGAATGCCTACAATGGCCCACACTCTCCCAGGTAAGCTACATGGGTTGTCCTCAGAGAAACAGAAGAAGGCAGGAGCACCACCATAATCTCACAGAACTGTGCCAATACTGCAGAGCTGCAACAGGAGAGAGGACAGGCCCCCTCCCCCCTTCCATTGCCTGCTGCTCCCCTGCACTACATCAGGAGGGCAGGTCTATGTCCTCTTCTGGGCCTGCTCAGTCATCAAGAAACTGTTCAAACTCCCTGATATCAAACCACATACTGTTTTGAATTGCTGGCTTTGCTCTCTGTCAGGCAGGAGACAAATGTGGAGACTGGTAGCACTATGGCTCTGTACTGAACCAGGCCCTGAAGACAACATTTTGGGGACCTTGAGGCATTGGTTTGAAAGTCAGACATCCAAACGTATTCTAGCAGCAAAACCTGTTTGAAAGAAAATGGGACAATTGTGTCATCATCATTCCTTTTCAGTGTCCAGTCTCATTTCCTTTTGCATCCTTCCTATTAGCATTCATTCACTGTGACCATTCCTGTGAGTTTTTAGTAAAAAACAACTTGCAGATTAGTCAGTTTTAAGCAAATATTTGAGTGCTCTAACTTGATATGTATTCTGAACTAAAATTAAAAGTGTTTGTCCCACATAAGCCTGACAGAAGTTCATAGTGACAAAGAGTCTGTGACCAGTCAGACCCTATCCTCTTTACCAGCAACTAATGGCTTATGTAGAAGCTGAGGGTTACAAGGAACCAGCTGCAGAATTATCTAACAAATAATTCGTGGGCTTGAGCAAGTATAATGACATGCATTTCATCTATGTTTAAATTCAAGCCTGAATCAAGCTAAAGCATTGCAACTGGGTACAAGCAGAAAAAACCAATTTTTCTTTAACAGGAAATTCCAGGGTTTCAGACAAAAATCTAAACATTTTCACAGCCTTCAGGTGAAAGACACGGTGTTGTAAGATTGGCTCTTTAAATCACTGTCTTTACCACTCGAAGGTGCATTTTTCAACAAAAACTCTTTTAAGGGAGTAAAAAGAAGGAGCTCTTACGGTCCAGCAAATTCAGAATCTTTCTTTAGAGTGCCAGAATGATCTAGACACAATAATGTAAATATCTATTTTTTCATAGCTTCCTGTAATAAGCAGCCCAAGGCTTCCTTCAGCCCCGTTAGCTGAATATACCTTGTAGTCTCAGGGATGATCAATTCTGCCCCCAAGAAGTATGAGGCAGAAGCTTGAAGGGGTCAGGCACCACACCAAACTTTTGTTTTGTTTGCATTAGGGCTTTGTCTCTATTGGCTCCGGAGTATTTTTATCTCCTCTTTCATCAATTGGTCCTGATGAATTTAAGATTTGCTATCATACAAACTACAGTTTTAGAACAAATCGCCCTTTCATTTAGTTAATACCAGCAGCATAGCTATAAAGCTGTAATAGTTTACAGCTTTCAACCTGCAACCACAGACAATACAAATTATATTACACTGTGTTTTATTGCTCTTTGAGGCCCACTAAGAGGCTCAGTGCTGTTTCATAGTCCAGAGTAGCAGCAGCTCTTTATTCTTTTTAACATATAGCTGAAAAATACTTTAATTCTGTTTCAAAATGGTGTGTTTATTTTTTTTGTGAGTCTGTCCTCAAAACTGCTTGTAGTTCACTTACTGTAGGATGCAAACAGCACCCTCCATGCAATTAAAGGAGAGTATGCACACACAGGGAGAAATGTCATCTTCCACACGCACTATCTGCACAAAGAGCGTCTCCATTTTGAAAAAGAAACAACAAGACCCCACACTTTGATAGTAATTTGCAAGGATATGACATCTGAGAAGGCAAAAACCTCAGAAATCACAATTCCTTCCTAAAATGCCCTTTGATTTTTCAGGTTGTGTGTTCAAATTCTTGAAGAATCATAAAGGCTACTGGTGCAGTTTCTTAGCCCTGCCCCTTCCTCTCTAGGCCTGAGGCTGGGCACTGAGGGGAGCAGAAAGGAATCGCCATGTTTTCTTTAAATGGAGGGTCTAAATAAAAAATGAAGGCAATAGAGCTTCAGGAATTGCAAAGTGCCAGAGGGAGTGGGTGAGCACAAGCTAGCCCTGCCTTTTAAAACATGAAGAGGCCATGTACTTGTTCCTACTGCACCTGCTGTCCGTGCAGTGCTGTGTTATGGCAGAGGCCAGCAGTCCGATCTGCATATCAAATAGCTGATTTGTAGATGAGGTCATTCATTTTGTGGTCGTATGTTTGCTGTGGTGGGGATGGGCTGTTGCCTAGCAGTGGGCCACAAAGTCCCAGCAGGTTTCTTGAGTCAGCAGCCATCCTTTGCTCCCCTCACCACTCTCCTGCCCTCATTGACAATTCAAACCCAGTTCTGACCTTAATAAATAAAACTCCGAAAGGTTTGACTAGTTCCTAAGTTCAAAGCGTGGGTGACGTGCTGTGAATTGACAGCTTCCTTTGATGCTGCATTGGTTTGGTGACTCGATAAGAAAAATACATATCCAGAAACCTTGGTACCATGTGAATGGAGGGATGGCAGATAGTGTCTGGCTGCAAAAACACCCTCCGAGAGGCTGGGGCTGCCTTGGTGCCTGGGTACACTGCTCCACTGTTAAAACATGGAAGAGGGGATTAAAAGATCAGCACCACATTTATTTAAGCATTTAAACACGTCAGAAGTGGTTTTGTAAAATTTAAGCTAGTTTTCGTGTATGACTGCTAGGGAATCAATTATGCCTTTCCTGTTAATTTTGACAGCCACTTCACATTGGGCAACACTCATTCGAAACACTTTTTAAGAAGTATTTTCTTCTTTCAAAAGCAGCTAAAGCTACTTACTTGTAGTGTACAGCACATCAAGCTGGTGGAAAAAGAAAAAGAAATCAGTCACCGTTTCAAATTAAAAAGAGAAAAAAAAAGCGGGGCAAAGAAGATGAAAACACTGGAGTACAAAGCTGCCTTTAGGAACTACAATACATATATGTTGTCACCATTTGGTGTCTGATAAGTTGGCAGAAACTGCAGTTTAAGTGCTTTTATTTTAGGAGTGATCTGCTGACAAAAGACACATGTGCAAACCATGCCATTTAGATGAAGGAGTCATATTCACTTTTTGCAAAGTACAATTTATTTATTTTTTCCAGATTATAATGTTTTCTAGGAAGAAAGGAGTACAAAGACCTCTCAACCCTAAAACAAAACCAAACATCTCAGCACAAATTGGAGCCCTGATAGCTCAAAGCAAAAGCCTCACAAACATCTATTAGAAGCAGGAAATGTCTAATGGAAAACTTACAAACATCTGATACATGAAAGGGAAGGCACAAAACAGGAAAGCAGAGGCATGAGCAGCTAATTGCTGTAGATTCCTCACAACATTCGCTGAAACACAGCAAGACACATCAGTCAGCTCCACAGCACTGGGGTATACAACAGCCATTAAAGTATTAGTAAGAATACTTGGAAAATGAGCACTTAAAAAAATGCTAATTCTTTGGACAGAATGAAGCTGCTTATGCTTGTGACTGAATTTACAAGGATGCTTTGAGGGTGGCCAGAGGTATCCTGGCATAATTCTTCTCATCTAATTCCAGTTATGAAAGCCTGCAAAAATAATAATTTTTTAAAGTATGATTATTATTCACACTGAAATCTAGGTGTAAAAGCAAGATGTATATCTTGCCAGCTACTGCATACATATCCAAACTTGTAGATGAAACTTGCACTTGGTTTTGATAACCTCTGGTCTAAGAAAAATGTGAAGTTTTGAGCAACAGCAATGCATTATGCTGGAGTATGGACATGCAGCAAACACAGAGCACCTATTCTTGCCCCTTGTAAATGCCCGCTGCTTGTCTGGTTTGAATAAAGTTATGCCTACTACTGTCAGAACTGAATTTGGCTCATGGTCCTCATGCAAATTGCCGCTTGCCTGAATGTGTGCACCATATTAAGAATGCAAATATGTTTGGACTAGATGATTGTTCCTTTATTTGCTGTACACCCTAATTCACAAGGAGTTGAATAAGGGTAGTTTTGGTGTGTGCAAGAAGGCAGGCTCAGACAAAAATACATTAAACTGTTTGCAAATAAGTTAATTATGTCAATAGATCTGATCTTAAGTCACCCTTTCTGATGTTATGTATATGGTTTCTTGAACATAACCAATAGAGAGAAAAAAAAAAACCACTTTAAAAAGAAAAATTGTCATTCTTCAGGACATGAAATGAAGTACCTTTTTTACACATACTGCAAACAAGCTTATGTCCAGGGTCCCCATCTCCAATGCTTTGAGTTCTGAAGGCCAGAATGTATCATTTTATCTTTGTCTGAATTTCAACTCACAGACATTCTGTGAAGTTAATCGCTTGTATTTGTCTATTGGAAAGGCATCCAGCGCTGAGCTGAAGACATCTGGCAATCTAAAAAACAATCCCTCATTTATAATTTGTTCAAATGAATGATAACCATACCCATTAAAAATGTATATCGTATTTCTCATTTGAATTTCTGTGATATACTTTTTCATTCCTTCTCACTTCCAGCTGTTATTCTGGAACTTTGCCAACCTTCTGTGAGGCACTTAGGGAAAAAAAATAAAAACACAAAACCAACTAAAAATTAACATTTGTGAAAAGAGAAATTTAAAAAAAACCCAACAAAGTAGCATTTTCTAGATTTCAGAAATAAAACCTAGCTTCAACTACAAAGTTAATTCAGCAAAAATACAAATTTTTATTTTGCTTACAATTTTTCTTGCTCACGTTTTAAAGAATATTTTAAATTATTTTGAAGGAAAAGCCCTATACTCTATTTCCTAATGAAAGGGAAAAAAAAACAAAACACCAACAAATACAACAGAACAAACCAAACCCAAGGAAGAAACCAAAATTTTTTTAGCCATATTTTCAGAGCATGCTATTCTTTCCTGTGGGAAAATTCACACATTCTTTACACTGAGATATTAAGTTTGAACTTTCAGTCATTTAATTAGTTCTCAATTCAACAAAGCATTTAAGCATGTTTTCAAAGCACAAAGCACTTAAGCACATTCTTATTCTGTCCCTGAATAGGAGCAGAGTGCTGAATCACACTGGGAGCTCTGAGAGCGGATCCCAGGGCAGCCTGGCAGGGCCACAGAGCTGCAGGGCTCTTGCTGGTTTGATTCCCCAAGAAGGGGTATGGTAGTGATTACATCATGCCCGGAATTAAAGCCAGGCCTAGTTTGAAAATGCAAAACTTTTTGCAATCCTATATAATGTCACAAATTTATAATAGAAAATTGAAAACACACATATGCCATATGAAAAAAAAAGACAAAAGAATCTGTTGGGGATTTATATTTGCCCATTTTTCACAAGTATAAAATAAATATATTAAATAATAATCCGATAAAGCCTTACATTATAACTGTGCAACTGGACTTTCACTGTGTTTTGGATATATGGGATATGAAAATGTAGGTGAATTCAATTACATACACAACTAGACAGAAAAACACACAATTTAGGTTTCCAAAATCTTCAGCTGCAAGGTACCTGAGGGATACATACCCAGACAAATATTCACACACACACACTCACACACATACAGAGCTCAGGTGAATCACAACAATGCCTTGGAGAATCAAGAAAAAAGATGATGCTATGTATCAAACAGATATTGCAAACATATTTTCAGTTAAATTAACAATAGTATTACCTTACCAGTAATATTTTCTATCTTTTACATTTAATTTTATACCAAGAAGTCTTTTATTTGAAACTATGTTTTCCGTTTTTACTTCGTCACTAGGTGTTCAGAAATATTTTAAACTTTACATTGTATGCTAAAATAGTAATATTGGCATTTCTGATTATTTCATACAATATTTGTGTCTAAAATAAGTCTATCTGAAATTTAAACACTCTGTTTTTTGCTTCCAAGACTCCCTCTGATATCAATGAGGAATGTAGGCTTGACCCATTGCTGAGTAGCCTTTTGAACAAACACCTTTAGCAGTGCTAGAGGTAGGAGTCAGTTCTCTATAGAGATAAGCACTTAACAATTCAAGAAAGCAAAGAATTAATGGAATTCCTAAGAATTTGGGACATGTGTCCCTGCCACAATGGCGTGTTGGTTTACGCTGCTGCATATGGCTGTAACCCCAGAATTACAAAATATTCAACTGGGATGCTTAGTTTTGTATTCACTTTCTGAGTGGCAATTCTTTAATTGTGTTTCTTTGTATTGTTTCTGTGTAAAGCTTTAAGGATTGTAAATCTTACTTACTTTCTACATCTTGTTTCCCGTTTTCAAGAGCCAAATTCTGAAAAAAAATAGATTACACCCACCACATCAGGTAATATTCAGACTGAGCAAAAATATCAGGAATCAGACAAATATTACTTTATATTTTCTAAACAAAATTTTCTACAATGACATTAAAAATATATCTAAAGAAACACTGTTTGCAACTCAAAAAGGGATTTCTAATGCAACCCAACTGAAAAAGTCTATTTACCCAAACTGAAATTCTCTGTTTCATTTTAACAAAATCGTAAAACATTTTTTTTAATAAAAATGTTTTAAAAGATTGAGAAATTCTACTGCCCAATGCCTTTAAGAAGGAAAAAAAGGAATCCCTGTACGTTTCATCTATGTAGGGCTGCTAAAGTCTGAGGAAGGGGGAATTGTGCTTACGCAGAGGAGGACGCCCATCATGCGTTCGCCAGCAGGGAGATGTCAGCCATTTTTCTGCACACTCTCCCCAAACGCAGGCTGGAGCTGCCCTCGCTCCACCATGTCAGCCCATCTGCTTCTCTCCTCACCCTGAGAGCGCTTCCACTCACGCAAACATCCTCTGGCTCACTACAGGCATATCAAAAAATGTTTTCTTTAGAAGAGAGGCAAATGAGGAATAGGAAAAAAAAAGATCATATTTTCCAAAGAGGACAAAGAAATGCGAAGCTCATCCTGCCTGCCTTGCTTGAGAGAGCTGCTCTGCATTCAGGGGTTAGCCCGGGTGGAGAATGATGCTGTTGTCTCACAAAGGACTCATGTTGAGCTGAATCTTTGATTACAGGACAAGTGCCTGCATTAGGCCCCTCATTGCGCTCACATTCTGCTCCTGCCATTTGTACAAAATTTCTGAGTGATCTCTTTGTGAATACAGACCTCAACTGAATCAAAGATGAGCTTCATCCTTGTTGTGTGTGTGTCCCCCCCTTATTTTTCTGTGAGCACTCCTTTTCTGTTTCCCTGCTCCTCCTCTCCCTGATCCCCTTCTCCCTGTCTCCTTTTAGACCCTTTGCCTGGTTAGAAAAAGGAATGCTATGGATCTAAAATAAAATCTAATGAATGGCAAACCTTGAAAATAGAGGTAGAGGTGCCTTGTGTAATCTTTTAAATTTGCCCCTCAAATTCAGTCATGATCCCTGCAAAAATTATGCATAACCTCTTGGTCTTCTTAATAGGATTTATGCTTGTTGTTGCTCTGCACACCCTGCCATGCCAGAGAGGACTCCAGAGCTGCTGCTGTAACCATGGCCACTCCTCATTCACCACTCTTGGCAAATTTCTCCTGGTGTAAAAGGCAGTGGGAAGGAGAGATGCACCAGCAGATGCACGAACACGATAACCCTGTGTCTCTCAGCAAACCACCATGTGCCTAAAACCCACTGAATTTGTAAGCGTTATCTGAGAACATTCTTTCAGCAAAATCACCTCAACATCTGCAACACAGAAAACAAAGCAAATATATAATCAACCTAGTTTAAAATCCGGCTTCAGTCAAATGTCACGGGGGCTTCATGCAGGCTCTGGAAGCTGGATTTTTTATGCATCTGCCCAAATTGAAAAGGTTATTTCACTGTCTTCAGGATGACTCTTGAGCTGAAGGCAGAGCTGAGGGTTGCTGTCCTGAAAGAAGGGAAGTTGCTAGGAGATAAGTCCAAGATTTCAGACAGCATTGGTTGGAGTTATCTCTAATTGACAGCTGCTTACCCTAAGGGTCTAATTCTAACCTTGAGACCAAAACCATAATGAGAGGGCAGCTTTCCTTCACCCCTGTTTTCTAGCCAGGGCAAGGAGATTACTGCAGGTCTGTTCTTCTCTGGTTTTTGTTATGCTTCTTTTCGTGGGGCAGCCCTGTGAGGCTCAGAGCCTGCTGTGCTTTCTGAGGCTATAGTTTGCATCAGTGAGCCCTGTCTGATTCATACCACCTGAATAAACTTGCTCTTACAGCTAAGATGGTCTCACTTTTTCTTTTTTTTTTATTAAAGGGGGAAGGGTGAAAAGAAATTCTCTTAAACATAAAATGATTTAAAGACTTATTTTTTTAAGCAGATACATTAGTGTGCAGCCTATGGTTAACCCTTTTTTAGGGGGACTTAGACTGTCATTGGTAGTTTTAAATCAAGTCCATGCTGTTGGCAAGTTGCTGTTATTTAGGACTGAAAATAAAAAAAAAAGAGAAACATTCAGAGAAAAGAGATTAACAGAGGCAGGAAAATAAACTGGGATAGGTTCTCCGGGGTGGTGGTGGTTTTGGTTTGGTTTTTGTTGTTGCTTTGTGGGTTTTTATTTTTTTTTATTTTTGGGGGAGTTTGGTTGATTGGTTGGTTGTTTTTTTAACTGACTAGGTTTGTTGGGATATTAATTTATGAAAACAAAATCTCGGAGAACGTCAACTTGTATTTTAATAATAATTTTTTCTATAGACAGTGGAACAGTATACAAGAAGCCTAAGTCTAATTTTCTTCTTAGTCGTACTAATAAAAATCTGGTCTTCTTCCTCTGAATTCACTGGAGCTACTCTGGACTTATACTAGGTGACTGAAAATATAGTTTGAATAAATATTTCCAAGGGGACAATTAAGAATAGGGAATGTAGTCACATTTAATAACCCATGGCAAAAGAAAAACAAGAAAAGAAAATAAGAAAGGAAATAGATCCCAATAATAATTTTTTTCTAGAAAATAATCCCATGAATTCTTGAATCTCAGTCACTTTCCTGGTCAACAATAAAAAATTGTTCTGCAGATTTTTTCAAGTAGGTAAGATCAAGTAAAAATTTGTATCTTTCAGGGAGAATGCAAGCAGGAACCAGTTCATAAATGCAACATCACTATTGTAGGAAATTTCTCTGATAGACACTGTGGGGCTAAGTGCTCCATGGCTTAAACCATTTCCCATCCCTCTGCATAAGGGCAGGTGAGCAAGTGGGGAGCAGAAGCAAACTGCAACTCCACAATTACAGGGAGAGAGGATAGTCCCAGCCCCTTCATCCTGAGCCTCAAAAGCATGCCAATTTTGTATAGTATTTTGGGTATATAAATACTTACCCTTGAGAAATGTGTTGAGGCTACCAACTTGCTTCGCAAAGACTGACTTGCTAGCCCTGATGTTTTCAAAGTTAGCAGTGTGGTCATTTGGATTTCATTATGGTATTCTTGGTCTGGAAGCATAGTCCACTGGGCAAATTAATTTCTGAAGGAATAGCTGAATGCCTGCCTGCTTACCAGCCAAAACGGATAATGAGTGTATTGCCCATGCGTCAGAGGGGAGTCAGCAAGGCAGGCTGGACAGTGATAAAACAGCATAGAGAGAAGCTCAGACCTTGGCATCACTCTCACTCATCTCTGCTCTTGAGGGAGTGTATAAAAAAAGACAACATCCAAGGCCCTTAGAAAAATAACCATTAATGAGTCCCATAGAATGAACTCATAGAAAGTGTTCTGTGGAGGCTGGAGTAATTTGAACGAGCAGACAACCAACCCAGCAGTGCATACAGGCATAGCCATAACTGCTGGAAAACAGTGAGTCTCATCTTAATCTTCATTTTTTCCTGTTTAAACTATTAGGTATATTTTCCTAATATACTGGGTCCTCTTATGTACTGCCTGTGACTGCTGCCTCTGGAAGTCAGAGACTTTCATATCGCTTAAATGGAATTTGTATATCCTTAAGGCTTCAAGTAAAACTAAAAATATGGTTTGGTGGCATATTTATAATAATGTCTATTTCTACAGTAATTTAACTTATCGTTTATTAAGTTGCATGTATTTGAAAGCTAATATTTGTACTGTGTCTGATGTGCAATTCAAATTTGTGCAGCAATTGCTGCAAGAATATTCACAAGAGTTGTTTCCTTGCTCTGCAAAACAACTATCTTTTCTTAACACTATCTTGGTAAAGTGACCTAAAATATTTTTTTCTCCATATGAAACACCAAGAGTAATGAAAATCAACTCCTCCCATGATAAACTGTGATCTTCACAGTAGAAAGCAAAAAAAGAAGCAGCACAGAAAAAGAAACATGATCTTCGTACCTTCCAGAACTGCAATATAAAATTAGAGGACTATCATGTAACTTCACAGCGGCATAAAGGGGTCACCTTAGCTCTTTGTACGTGTTACTGAAATAGAGCTCTGCACCTCAGTCAGAAAATTTTCCTAAATTTTTATCTTGCTGTGCACTTCACTTTCCTGACCAGGCAGGCCGATCTTAAGGAGAGAAAGAGAGAGAAGATGCTTTGCAAATCAGACTTGTATAAGCTACTGACCTCAGGAATAAGAGGAAGAGACTGGAAATCTCAGGAGTCTGGAACCACATCCTCATTCTCTGAGCCACCAGCATGCAGGCATTATTACTAAGCTGGTGTCAGGACTGAGCCATACTAGAGGTTTGGTGCTGATGAGTTACCCCTACATAGGCCCTCACTTGTGAGCTTATGATGGTCTTTGTCAAGGCTGTCTAAAAAATATTTCAAAAAAACCAACTGTATCTACAACATAAAAAACAAGAGCAGTCAGAGAGGGTTTGATTCTTCCCCTTCTGAAACCAATGAGACTACATCGAGGCTTCCAGTTTACACATGTGGAGGTACCCTATACACCACAGTTTTAGGATGTGACCTCTTGCAAATAATAAAAATATTTGAAATATTTTTTTTTCATTTTTAATAAAAGAAGATTCAAACATCAGCAAACTTCCAGGAATAAATCTGTGCATGTTCAAATTAGGAAACAACTTTGCTTTTGCACCTGGCAACAAACTATACTGTAAGTAAAATTTTACCCTTCTACAAGTTTTCAGATCTCTAACATCTTCACCTATTGCTTCCAAAACCATTTCCAGCTTACTAGGTATGTAACACATTAGAACAAAATAAGTCTGCAAGTTCTGGCACCAGGACCAGCCTCCTTCAGATAATTAGAAAAATTAGATCTGACCACAGATCATAATGATATTACTCTCATCTTCAACAGTGACTAAAATATTTGAATACAGTTTCATAATGATGCTACTCCCATCTTCAACAGTGACTAAAATTTTTTCAATACAGTTTCCTTAGATGGCTTTCTAAAGTTCTTTTTCCCAGCTCAGAGAATTTTTTTTGTTCTATCACTGAAAAAATAGTCTATGCCTTTCACAGTATTCCATATATTATTATATTTACACTTTCTTTTCACCAGAAACCTTGATGTATAACACTGTGTTTTGAAAATCAACATCTTACTTCCTGCCAGAGCCAGTAGATATAGCAGCCAGTAATAGCTGGTTTCTAATTTTTTTCTCTTTGTGCTAGAAGGAAAAAAAAAAGTAAAAAAATTTGCTGACTTTAGATCTTAGCCTATCAGATGAAGACTTACTGGTGCATTAGAGGCCTATTCAAAATAGGGCTTTTCTTGCAACAGGAGCCCCTAACAATTGGTAATGAGGACAGATTCTGAATTGTTTGTGAGCAGCTGCTTAGTAGGTAAGAGCTTGTTTGGATTCAATTGAACAGTGTTTTTAGAAGCAGTTACTGACCCCTGACCCTTCCTACAGACTGGGTTGATGGGATTAGGGAAAGCTAGCGTTCAGCTTACACTTGGCTATAACAAGCTGGCAAGAGATAACATACTTTTTAATTATCAAGTTACACCTCTGCCAAAGTTTGTCTATGAATTTACCAAATGGGTCAATGAACTATAAGAAATCAAGCTAGGCTATGGGATAGTAGTTACATAAGAAAACAGTTTTGGTGGAGATATAATTAATACATTTATGTGGGATTTTTTTTCCCTCTGCAAATATTTCACATTTTCAAATCTTCTTCTATATATGCTGTATGTGGTATTTATGTCAATGCAGCTTAAGGTAAAAAAAATCTGAATTACTTCTAAGAGCTGTCTAAAAGGTAGCCAAGGAAAAAACCCCACAAAACATGCAATACAAGAAATTTAAATTGAAGTAACAAACTGAGTAACATTAAAATTTGAAGCTTGATTTGTTCTGCCACTCTGAGGCTGCAGCAATATAAAAATACTTACTATTGGCAAGAAGCCAACTTGCCTAGCAGTCTACAACCATAAGAAAATGAAACAATTGTGGTATTATTCACCTGGAACAATCAAAGATAATTTCTTACATATTAATAAAAAAATTACAAAGGCCATAGGGATTTTATGTCTTAATTATAATTAATTAAAACCAAACCAAAATTATAAGGCTTAATTATTTTTAAGGAATTTTTTCTCTGTTTTCTTTCAAGGCAGAAGTATGAAAAATTCTTCAGTTCAAGTCATTAGGGCCCAAAGCTTTCTTAGTTCTCTGCACTGTTAGTATATATCATGTCTGTTATGGGAGCAGTCAGATCTGGGAAATTCTTAGTAAAATAATCATAAGATTTATACAGATCAATCCTTTCATGGACTAGAGAATTTATTGATAAAATAAGTTACAGTGAGTAGTGCTACTTGGTGAGCAGTACAGATATGTTGAAAGCCAGAGCATGTGCTGGAAACTTGGGGGGATTTGTCGCTGTATCTGTGCTTACCATTGCTGAAAGGCTCTGCAGACCCAGAAAGATTCTCAGAAACACTTGGGATTACTCACGTTAGTTCTGTCAAATCTCTTTTATATCAGGAATGAGGGTCTCAAGATCAAGTTTCATTTCTAGTCTCACCAAATTTCCTGTCTCAGCTGGAGCAAGTCCCATTGTCACTTTAAAACTGAGAGGGGGTCTAGCAACAAAGAGCAACTTTGGGCTGGGGTGACCTGCATGCAGGAGTCCTCCCTTTATGATGGGCATTACCACATACCCCCATTTCATGAAGTGTCTAGTTGCCCCCTCAAAAATAGCTTTACATTTTCTTTCCTACACCTCTCTCAGAATTTGGCTTGTGAATCTCAATGTTCTAATGGTCAGACACCATTTTCTATCCTAAAGCTATTAATAGCTATTCCATAACATTTACTTCCTTTACCAGTAATGTCTTTTAGTTTGAATAGTGTCTTCTTTTCCTTGCTGTTTACTTCCCTAATATGTTTATACATGGCAATCACTTCTTGCCTCAAAATTTGTTTTGCTCGGGTGAATAAACCAAAATTTTAGGCTCTTTTGAAATAACTGCTTCTCTGCCTTCTCGATTTTCTCATAAACCAGTTTTATCCTATTTCTACTTCTATTTTTCTTTTGCAATGTGAATATCCAGACTTGTATGCAGTGTTTTGGAGAACATCTTACAAATGTCTGCTGCTGTGTAAATACTTCTACCTATGTATCTCAAGATTACATTTGTTAAGATGCCATCCTGTTGATCTCCCAGGTCTTCCTCCCATTGGTTATTTAAAAGTGGTCTCCCAGTTTACAAAAACAACGTAGCTATTGAATTTTGTGCTATTGAAATTCATCCTATTTCTATTACTAGAGTCTTCAAGGTCATTTTGCTTTTCCTGTATAATAATCTAATAATGTACTGGCAATGTAAGTGGAGGGCACAAAAGGAAAACGTAGCGACAGAAGGGGTGTGTGCAGAGACCAGCTTTAGTTTAGCTCTGGTATATCAAGGTTAGTCTTCCTAGGCTGCCTATGTAGCCAAGAGGAGGAGAATAGCTTATCTAGGAGTCAAGTTGTAGCAAAGTTTCATTACCTTGTATGAATTGTATTTGGTGGAGTTCATCTGTCATTTGCCACAGGAAGATCCTATAGAGAAATTACTTCCACTGGAGTTAACTCAGTCTCTGTGAATACCCCAAGTGTCCCTTTAATTCATTTCCTTTACCAGTATGCTCATATTTTTGTCTCTTAGTCATTCTGGAAATATTATACAAGATTAATACACACACACACACTTCAGGAGGTTTTTCAGTAGCTTTCATCTAGTCCCACACTTCATCTCTCAGCCCAGTGCTGGTAACTTTATAGGCAGTTCCTTCTGTATCATACTGCTTCTCTACAAATCCCAGTTTTTTCAGCAGTCTGTTTTTGCAGTTAGTGTTCACATTACCTGTGAAAAAAAGTCCAAAATAAACATCAATATGTAGTGAAGCATAATTTACCTATGATAAAACAATATTGCAAGGTCCTTGAAGCCTTCAGGTCTAATTTCACCAAAATTTGCATTGCTGAGGTCAGGCTAAAGGATTCTGTAGGTGCTAGGATGATGAGTCTTAATGCAGACACCGCATTTGTG